TGTGGTCTAACTCCTTGAAGTCAGAGACTGACCTCTAACGTGCCCTCAGTACCAAGTGCAAAAGGTGCTCAACAAGTGCTAGGTGGAGACACTCGATATTCCTGTTACTTTGTGGGAATGCAAGACAATGTTGTTGAGCCTCTGTGTTTGTGTTTTTATTTTTCAAGAGAAGCTATAAAATATCTTGCTTTTAAAATATTGACAATTCACTGAAAAAAACAAAACAAATCAACAAACTTCAAAACACTGTATAGGCCCAACAAAACACAACTGTGGGTCATGGGTAAATAGCAAAACTAAAAAATAACAGTGACAATTTATAATCTATTATTAGGCATTGGATATGTTATTTTTAACACAACCAATATATGGGTGGGGAGTGGTTGCCTCTGTAGGATAAGCACTGGGCTGCGAACCACAAGGTTTGCGGTTTGAGCCCCAGTTGCTCCAAGGGAGAAAGGTGAGGTTTTCTGCTCTGGCAAAGATTTACAGCCTCGGAAACCCTATATTGGATCCATATATATGAGTCAGAATGTACTTGAGGGAGCTTAACGACATAAGGACAGTATCCTTGGGTGGCGCAAATGGTTAGGCACTAGACGACTAGGCAAAAGGTTGAAAGTTTAGACCCACTCAGAGACACCTGAGAAGACAACACTGGTGATTGGCTTTCAAAAGGTCACAGCTTTTAAAACCCTATGGAGCAGTTCTACTCTGCACACATGGCCCAGGTCACCATGGGTCTGAGTCCAAAGCCACTAGGCAGCAACTAACAACGACAACAGTATATAGATGAAGTTTGTGGTTAAAAAACTCAAAACAACACATAAGCATATAGAGTAAAAAGCAAAAAGTCTCCATCCCTTCTCCAACCCCAAGCCTCTCCCCATGTCACCACCACTATGGAATTTGGAGTGTTCTCTTCCAGATACAATTAGAAATGTTCAAGAATATTCATATATATAAGATTAGCCCCGTTTGTTTTCCACATAAGGAAACTACAGCATTGAGAAGTTAAAGCACTCATCACTATTCTACAGCGCTAATAAGAGCTGAAGCTGCGATTCAAATCCCCATCAGCCTGACTCCTAAATCAGCTCATTCCTTCCCCTATACCTGACGTGTAAAAATTTTATGAATGAAGAAATCCAGGATCTTAGAGGTCCCCAAGCCGTCAGAACCTCTATAGCTCACTGTCCAATTGGCAGACGCAGTGGTGACTGCCTTGACCCACACGGAACTGAGGTCCGACTAGGCCCTCACCGCTGGTGCACAACCCCCATCTGAGGCCTCCCAGAGGGGTCCTCTGCACCCCTGGAGCAGGCGCAGCGCTCGCCTGCCCAGAGCGGGTGTCAGGCCTGGGGTCCTGCGGAGCCCAGCGCGCAGGCTGGGAAAGATGGTGCCTCTAGCCCAGGCGGGGTGCGCCTCCTCTTCACCCCTCAAACCGTCTGAAGCGCCGACACTCAAGTCAAGGGTCCTGGTGGCCCGCAGGCCCTAGTGGGTAGCCTAGTCCCTGCGGCTAAGGGACTCGGCCCCAGCGCGTGGCGAGCGGCGGGGCGGGGCGGGGCAGGACGGGGCGGGGTGGGGGCGGAGCCGCGGAGGAGGCGGCAGTGCCTCGAGACCCACTCAGGGGCCGCAGTGGCCTCCGCGGAGTAAGGCTGTCTCGAGAGAGCGCGCGGGTGCAGAAGGGTTAACGGGCCGCCGGGGGCGCGTAAAGAAGGTACTGACTCTCCCCGGGACCCTCGGCCCTGTCCGTCCCCTCCCCCAGGTCCCGTTAGATCGGCCACCCGCATCGCCCCCGCTGCCTGCGTTTCGGGTCGCGCCCCCGCCACGACCCCGGCCCCAGCACCAGCCTTGGAATATCTTCCAGACCCTGGGGTCGAATTCCTGGCGAGAGGGCTTCGATCCCCTGGAACTCCGGTCCCATCACCCGGGTGGGGAATCAGCCAAAATTCCTACTCAGTCACTTAGTAAAATTGGAAAACATACCCAGGACCTCCAGGCACGCGCCGATGCCTTCTCCCCTAGGAGGCCCTCTCAGAGGATGTGCCCTCCCCAGCTCAGCCTTTTACTTCTTGAGTAGGGGTATAGGGCTATGGGAGAGATGCAAGTGGGTGCCCAATGATTCAGCTTAGTCTGATGGCAGAATAGGTCGACCTGTCGGGACACCTGTCGGGACGGTCCTCCAGAACCCAGGAGTGGAGGGCAGGATGAGGACTAGAGTTCTGACACAGGACAGGGACTCTCCACCATCACCCCAGATACACTGTCCAGACCCCCCAGAAACGAGGTTTCCCAAAGCTGGGTCCCTTTGGGTGTTGAGGGGTTAGCCCTGCCCAGGTCTTGGTTCCTGTATCTTCACTGGCCAGTGTGAGGAGGTGTGGCCATGAGGCGCCCAGGTTGTCCAAAGCAGTGTCCAGCCTGGCACCAGACTGACCGCTGCTGACCTCTTTTCCTTACCCTGGGAAGCGAGAGACACCAGATGAGGGACTTGAAAAGGGGTGAAAAGCATAAATGTGTGCTTGTTTCCAGAGGAGGGGGTATCGGCCCCTGCCCAGCTGTGCAGGGGGCGTGTGGGACTTTTCCAGAGAGGGAGCCAGGCCTGGCTGGGGCCCCAGGAGCTCACGTCACCCCCACCCCCCACCCTTCACTTCTCTAGGGAACTGCCAAAGCCAAACCCAGTTCAGGACAGGATTATGTGTCCTGGGTAGACCCATGGAGAGAGACAGTGAGATACAGACCTGGGGTAACAGGGAGAAAGAGGGACATAGGGGGTGCTCAGGGGACCTGGCAGCAGAAAAGGAGCAGCCTGTGACTATCTTTCTCCATCTCTTCTTCCCTTCCACCTCAAGTTAGGGTTTTCAGAGTCAGGCATAGAGATGTGGTTTGGGTGGAATGTGGGCCCTTCTGGGGAGCCCCCAGCTTTCCACCCATCAGGGCGTAGGCTCTGACCTCAGTGGCCAGCCCAGTCAGGGGAAGCAGTTTCCATTAGCAGCATATCTTCCCTCCAACCCCCCAGCGCTGAGCAGCTGAAGTGACCCTTGCCGGTTTAGTTTGACCACTCTGACCTCTCCCTCAAAGTTCCAAGTCCCAGAGTCTTCGAAAGGGGAGTAGGGTTTAGTGTTGCCATCCTCAAACACATCCCTGCCCTCTTCTCTGTCATTTTCCTGCCCCTGAGTTGGCCCACCTCAGTACTGGCTCCTTGGACTCCTCTCCCGGGTGCCTTTCAGCTCCAAAAGAAACATACTTTTTTTTTTCCTGGAAAGCAGAACTAAGAGCAGGACGGGGTTGGGGATGGGAAGGGCTCAAAGAAGGAAGAAGGGCAAGGAGGGGTGGGAGGGAGAGTCAGACTCTGAGGCCAAGAGGGCTCCAACCCCCACTTCCCCAACCATCAAAACTTCCCAGCTTCAGGGAGAACTGACCAGCTCTTCAGGATGATAGGCCTATTGATGAGGAAGCCCTAGCTGCATCTCTCCTTCCCAGGTTCTCATTACAGTTGCACATTACATAAGCCCTCACTGAACCAGTGCAGGACACGGGCACCCAGCTCGTTAACTCACTGCCATTGAGTCAATTCCAACTCAGGCAACCCAATGTGTGTGACAGAGTAGTATTGTTCATAGGATTTTCTTGATGTGGCGCTGTAGGATAAGCACTGGACCACAAGGTTGGTTTGAACCATAAGGTCAGTGGTTAAAGCTCACCAGCTGCTCCTCGGAAACCCTATGCAGGGTTGTTAAATTAGAAGCGACTCAGAAGGCACTTAACAAAAATCTTTACAGAAGCAGATCACCTGGCCTTTTTTCCCCCTGGTGCTGTTTGATGAGCTGTGGTATAATGCTTATAAGTCAGGCTGTGAACCTGAAGGTCAGCAGTTCAAAACTACCAGCTGTTCCATGGGAGAAAGATGAAGCTTTCTGCAGTATGTCTTGGAAACCCTATACAGGGTTGCTATGAGTCAGAACTGACTCCACGGCACACCACCACCAACCACCACCTCCACCATCGGTTGATGGGTTCAGAGTATCCACTTTCAAGTTCATCACTGACCATTTGTGCCACTGGGGGACCTCTGGCACCAGGAGTGGAAATTAAATTGCAGTGGGAATATATGATCTGCTTTTCTTGAGCTTAAACCATCAACCCACTTGGTTTATCCCTTGGCTCAAAAGTTTTTGAGACTAGCAGAGATGAGCCTAAAGGTTCCATAAGCTTTGTTAAGAAGGGAAGAAATTTGGGAGGTAGGAAACAGATGGGAGGTAGAGTCTTGTTTCTGGAAAGCTCTAGAAGACTTCTTGTCAACTCCTCAGAAGAGGCATATAACATACCCTCACCTAACCCTCCTTCCTCAACTTTCCAGGTACCTCTGGGGACAGACAGAGCCCTGGTGGTGCAGTGAATTAAGCATTGGGCTGCTTCAAACCCACCAGTGTTCTGCAGAAGAAAGATGAGGCACTCTGCTTCTGTAAAGATTTACAGCCTCAGAAACCACATGGAGCAGTTCTACTCTGTCCTACAGGGTCCCTATGAGTCGGAATTGACTTGATGGCAGTGCCTTCTGGGTGACAGGAGGAAGAGCCGATGAAAACCATCTGAAGCAAGCCTGCCTTGTGTGCCTGCACTGGCCTAGAAACACCCGAGTTGGGGCTTGGGAGGAGCTGAGAAGTTCTTACAGGGCCAAGAGGAAGGGATGGAGCCAAGATTTGGGAGACTGAGGTCAGACAACTCCCCCCTCTCCCCCCAGCCTCAGCAGATGGACAATGGCAGCATAACTCCCTGCTCCCACCCTTAGGATCATAAAAGGATGGGCCATTCTTCCCCACTACTCCTTCTTCACTCTTGAGACGACCTTTTGAGGGCTCATCCTTCCTGATGTCCCAGCTCCCTGAAGACTGGAGAAGCAACCACCAAGTGTCCTGTCCCCTTCATGCCCAGATACCTGAGTAGTGTGTTTATGTCCAGATCCGTCCTCCCTTGCCCTGGGCCATCAGGGAGGAGCGATGGCGAAGTGGGCGGGCAGGTAAGAGGTGCGGCTGCAGGGAGGTGGGCTCAATCCTTATGAGGCCAGGGAGAGTACAGGGATGGGCAGGAAGCAATGAGTAACTTCTGCTGTCAGAGAAGTTGGTGGTGAGGATGTGGGGAGCTGCTAGGGGTAGGAACGATGTTCTAACACCTCCTCAGGCTCCTGTTTGACCTACCCTCTTCCTGCTCTTGGTGTGCAGGCCCAGGCTGTGTCTGATGCTGCTTCTGTGCCTCCCTCAGCTCTGTCTGGATCAGGAGGTGAGCCAGGGCCAAGAGGCACACCTCTACCTTCTCACCTGCCTGTCTGCTGTCTCCCCAACCTCCCACCCACCTCTCCAGGCCCATGCCTCCATTTCCCTCAGCCTCTGCTGAGTCCCCATCCTTTTTTACTCACACTTGGTCCTCCTCGTTTCCCCTAGCCAACTCCCAAACTCCTTGCCAATAAAATCTAGATGACTGAGTTCTAGAGATGACTCCTCTACTGAATGTGACCTGTCTGAGCCTCGCAGCACACTGGTCTAGAAAATTGCTCTTCATAGTTCTCTCTCAAATTATTCTGTCTGACCTTTTTCTCTATATAGGTGTTGTCTGGGCATTCTCATCAGACACCCCCAGAGGACAGCCAGGGCCCTGAGGGCATCTGGGGACCTTGGGGCCAGTGGGCCTCTTGTTCTCAGCCCTGTGGGGTGGGGGTGCAGCGCAGGAGCCGGATATGTCAGCTCCCTACAGCTCAACTCCAGCAGGGCCTGCCCCTCCCACCCCGGCCTCCAAGACATCCAGAAGCCCATCCTCCTCGGGGTCAGGGCCCCAGAGCCCAGGCTTCCCGAGAAACCCTCCCCCTGTACAGACCAGAGCCTCGGGGAAGAGGTGGTCCACTTCGAAGTCCTACTTTCCAGCTAGGGAGAGAGGAGACCCGGGAGAATCAAGGTGCTCGGAGGTAAGGGGTGTGTATTGGAGGGAAGGGGGAACAAAAGACACAGGGTTTATGGAGAGTTATCTTGCTCCTCTGAAACCCTATAAAGGGTCACTATGAGTTAGAACCAACTTGATGGCACTTAACAACTAGCTTTGATGCCAGAACTGGGGAAATGCAGTTAGAGATGGCCACAGCTGTGTCCCTGTGTCTGCAACACCTTTTTTAGGCCCCGGGTTCGAGATCCCATCAAACCAGGAATGTTCGGTTATGGAAGAGTGCCCTTTGCTTTACCATTGCATCGGAACCGCAGGCATCCCCAGAAGCCATCCAGACCTGAGCTCCCCAAGACTTCTTTTCGAAGAGAAGGGCCTCTTTCATTCCTGACTTTAGGAGCAGTCCCATCCTTTCTAAACCAGACCCTTCAGACTCAACTCCCTACAGAACTGTCTGATCATACCCAGTCTGCCTCAACTGGGCCCCCAGACCCAGCAACTTTTCAGATACAGGGTTCCTCCAGAGCCAAGCCTGCTCCCACAGGTCCCCACCCCAGAAACCAGGACAAAGAACCTTCCTTGCCCACACCATCTTCAGGACAAAGTATCTCCTTTCATGTGTCCCCTCAGCCAAGAATGCCAAATTCCCAGAGATGGACCAGTCCCCGAGAAGTAGGGAGCCGTCCTAACCCTCTCACTAATGTCCCTCGGGGCCGAGGCCAGCAGAGCCGAGAGCATTGGAGATCTGGGGGAAATCTTCACGGTTCTCTCATGGAGCCTGCCCCTCGCCACCCAGATGGCTGGTTGCCTCTGCTGAGTACAGGTCCCCACTCCAGCTCCCGCTGGAGCCTCTTTGCTCCTACTAGCCCTGTCCCAAGGTGTTCTGGAGAGAATGAGCAGCTGAGAGCCTGCAGCCAGGCGGTGAGTTCTTCCCAGGCCCACCCTCTCGTCCTCCCTGACCCTGATCCTCAGTTTGCCTCATCTGAACCTGGGGGAGAAGGTCCTCAGCCTGAGTTCCCAAGGGCGGGAGCCCTGAAGCTCTTCCATACAACTGACTATCTCCCCAAATCCATCCTGATCCATACCTCATTTTCCACTCCACCTCAGCTCTGCCCCCCTGAACAACCAGACCCCCGAGCCCTGCAGTGTGCAGCCTTTGACTCCCAGGAATTCATGGGCCAGTTGTACCAATGGGAACCCTTTACTGAAGGTGAGGTTTCCAGCACCACTAACTCCAGGATTCGGTGGTGAGGAGGAGAGAGGAAAATCCTGATCACTCCCAGGCCCAAAAGAGTCCCAGCCACTCTGTTTCTTCTCTAGGTCATATTTTCGTTCTCACTCCCCAAGGCTGGGGTAAGAGACTTAGCACAGACCTAGAAAGGAGAAGGGGGTTCAAACTAAGGTCTGAACTGCCAAATGGTGGGTCAGCAAAGGGTTCAGACTGGGGAAGGGGGGTATGTCCAGAAGCAGGCTTTTGACTGGCTTCTCCTAGGAAGAAGGCCATCCCAGGGGTGGGGTGGATGGTGGCATGAGAGGGGTATGGTCAGAGAGATCCTCTCTGGTAGTGACAACAGGATAGAGGTGTGCCATGGATTCTGAGTGGTTTCCTATCAATTGCTGTCAAGGTACCATCTACTTGATTTTAGGCTTACATTAACCAGGCACCAAGATAAACTCAGAGCTCATACAAACATAGGCTTCAAGGATCTGTCCTCCATGAGTTTGTTACTCTCTTGCTGGTCTCAATGATCTCAGGTGACCTGACCCAACACTTGAGTGATCCTCAAACCAACCTCTGAGAGTGCAGAACTGTCAGGCTCCCTTGACCCACAGCGACCTAGGCAACCTCAGAGTGCTCCACAGTAAATTTCAGCAAAGCCAGAGCCCTGAAGTATTCCCTAACTTACCTCCCACCAGGGAGCCCAGCTAACCACTCTTCTACCCTGTCTCCTAGTTCAGGGCTTCCAACGCTGCGAACTGAACTGCCGCCCCCGTGGCTTCCGCTTCTATGTCCGTCACACTGAAAAAGTCCAGGATGGGACCCTGTGTCAGCCTGGAGCCCTAGACATGTGTGTGGCTGGACGATGTCTGGTAAGGAACACAGGGGCACACGTACACTGTGTCTCTCTTTTTCATTCATCATCACAACAACAAAAACACCTACTAAGATGGGCTGAGCAGAGCCAAGAGGTGAACTGCAAGGGGCCTCCTGTCAGGCACATCTAAGCTTACCTGAGGCAGGCTGGGGATGGTGGGCCTTTCTTGTAGTGTGAAGAGTAAACCTGAGGTAAACTAGAGTCCCAGGTGGACTAGGGTAGGATTTGGCTTTTCTGTGGTCCTGACTCACCTCACTCTCTCCCAGAGCCCCGGCTGTGATGGGATCCTCGGCTCTGGCAGGCGTCCAGATGGCTGTGGTGTTTGTGGGGGTGATGATTCTACCTGTCGCCTCATTTCGGGGAATCTCACAGACCGGGGAGGTCCCCTGGGCTATCAGAAGATCCTCTTGATTCCTGCTGGAGCCTCCAGGCTGCACATTGCCCAGCTCCAGCCCAGCGCCAATTACCTTGGTGAGCATCTCAGCTTTCCCAAGCCTTAGGTTCCCATTCCATTCCTGTCTCTGGCTTCTTTCTCCCATTTCTTCACTCAGCACAGCAAACAGGACAAACAGGGAGAAGTCGAGGGACTTCCCTAATAGAGACAGTGAGAAAGCCAAGGGGTTGGGCTCTGGGTGGAACGTACCCATTCAGGTAAAGGAAGTGATGGGAGAGGATAGTATGACTAACCTAATGTTTCCTGATCTCCAACTTTCAGCTCTTCGGGGCCCAGGGGGCCGGTCCATCATCAATGGGAATTGGGCAGTGGATCCTCCTGGGACCTACACAGCTGGTGGGACCATCTTCCGGTACAACCGTCCTCCTCGGGAGGAGGGCACAGGGGAGAGTCTGTCAGCCGAAGGCCCCACAACCCAGCCTGTGGATGTCTATGTGAGCCTGGGGTCTAGTGAGGCTGGTCCCTCTAAGAGTAAATAAAGCTCCTACACCACCACCAAACCTTCATCACTCCCAAACTCCAATACTCTTTTTCTCCCAGATGATCTTTCAGGAGGAAAACCCTGGAGTTTTTTATCAGTATGTTATCTCTTCACCTCCTCCAAATCTTGAGAGCCTCACCCCAGAGGCCCCTGTCCCACAAATTCAGCCTGGTAAGACTCTTAATCCTTGGACCTAGCAGAGGAGGGGAGCTCCCACACAGGGGGACACTTCTGATTTCCCTCCTTGGCACTCTGCAGAGATCCTGAGAGTGGAGTCCCAGGCTGCTTCAGTCCCCCGGCCCACCCGGACCCCAGGCACCCTCCAGCGTCAGGTGCGGATCCCCCAGATACTCGCCCTGCCCCATCCCCAGGCACCCCTGGGGTCTCCAGCTGGATACTGGAAACGAGTGGGACACTCGGAGTGCTCAGCATCCTGTGGAAGAGGTGCGACTTTCGTACCGCCTGTATTCCTACACCCTCCATCTCCTGACCCCACTCCCTGAATCTTAGCTCCAGACAGCAACTGCCTGCCCACATTTTGACCTGTGCCAAACTCAAACTCCAGGGCCTGGGACCCACCCCCTGAAACTGGGCCCTAAACTTTCCCACCTCCCCTGGCTTCCTTCTTACCCTTTCTTCAGGTGTTTGGCGCCCCATTTTCCTCTGCATTTCTCGGGAGTCAGAAGAGGAACTGGATGAACAAAGCTGTGCCACAGGGGCTAGACCTCCTGCCTCCCCAGAGCCCTGTCATGGTCCCCCCTGCCCTCCATAGTGAGTATGACCACAGGAAGGGTTAAAGTACCAGAAAACACCAATGGCTCCAATAACAAACACACCCTCACTGCTTGCAGAATCTCGCCTGGACTCTGCCCTCAACACCAGGTTCTCCTGGCTGCAGAAAGACAAAGTTAGATGAGAAAGGCGAGCATTCTATACAGAGAGGCCCAGCAGCCCAAGCCCTCACAAAGGGGCCCAGGCGCCAAGTGCTAAATATGCCCATTCTCCTCTGAGGAGTCCCTGTCCTGAGTATCTCTCTCCCCACGGGCAGTCCCACACATCCATTCTGTCTTAACCCTCTGTGCTTCTGCCCCTGCCTTGTCCCTGCCCACAGCTGGGAGGCTGGTGAGTGGACATCCTGCAGCCGATCCTGTGGCCCTGGCACCCAGCATCGACAGCTGCGTTGCCGGCAGGAGTTTGGTGGGGGTGGCTCTTCAGTGCCTCTAGAGCGCTGTGGACATCTCCCCAGGCCCAACATCACCCAGCCCTGCCAGCTGCGGCTCTGTGGCCATTGGGAGGTTCGTTCCCCCTGGAGCCAGGTGAGTGGGACTGGGTAAGGAGGCTCTCGAAGGGTAGGAGGGGCCAGAGAGGAGGGGGTACCAGTGAACTAGAGCAGGGGGCTTTTATCTTTAATCACCATAAAAAAAAAATCAGCAGAGAGTTTTTACAAATGAAATCTTCTATGGAACCCCAATATTCTAAGTCAGATAAGAGACTAGACCAGGAGTGAGGGCTCAGCCACCAAGCCATGTAATAGCTGAACTGGGGCTCAAAGACAGATCTGGCTTAAAGCGGATGCTGGAGGTTGGGTGGAAAGCCTGGAAGCCCAGGTCTTGGGATTCACTCCTCCTCTTCCCCTCAGTGCTCCGTGAGGTGTGGGCGAGGCCAGCGGAGCCGGCAGGTGCACTGTGTTGGAAAAAATGGTGATGAAGTGAGCGAGCAGGAGTGTATGTCGGGGCCTCCCAAGCCCCCCAGCAGAGAGGCCTGTAACATGGGACCCTGTATCACAGCCTGGTTCCACAGCGACTGGAGTTCCAAGGTGGGTCCCACACCTCCTTCATCAACTCCCAGGTCCCTGATCACCCAGGACATTCTCAGGCCCTCTCCAACACAGTTCAAGAAACATTTGCTAACTGCTAGATACTGCTGACACTAGGAACTTGGGAGAAAATGGAGGAAAATTACACTAGGGTCCTGGTCTTTGGATCTTCTTACCTGGCTGATGTCCATGAATCCAAGACCCCTGGGGCTTGCCCTAATTCCTAAGATCAGGACCCAGGACACTTCCAGTCCCTGCCTCCCTGTCCCTATCAGCCTCCTATCACAGAGTCCACTCTCCTCCTGGACAGTGCTCAGCTGAGTGTGGGACAGGAATCCAGCGACGGTCAGTGGTCTGCCTCGGGAGTGGGGAGACCCATGGAGCCAGCCAGGTGGAAGCTGAGGTTGAGGCCCGTGAGCAGAGCTGTCCACCAGGAAGTCGCCCTCCTGACATGCGTGCTTGCAGTATGGGACCCTGTGAAGTGACATGGTGCTGGTACACAGGGCCCTGGGGTGAGGTGAGTCAAAAGAACTGGTAGTGGAGCAGGCTGGGAATGAGGGGTTGCTGGTTCCAGTGAGGAATTGGTCCCCATATCCTTCATCCTTGGCCCCCCCCCCCCATCAGTGCTCCTCAGAGTGTGGCTCTGGCACGCAGCGTAGAGACATCATCTGTGTGTCCAAACTGGGGACAGAGTTCAACGTGACTTCTCCTAGCAACTGTTCCCATTTGCCCAGGCCACCTGCCCTGCAGTCCTGTCAAGGCCGGGGCTGCCAGGACCAATGGTTTTCTACACCCTGGAGTCCGGTAAGTGCCTGGCTCCCAGGTCCTGCTCAGCCTGGACCTCCAGAGAAAGGAGCGTTCTCTCTCACTGCATCCCCTCCAGGTCTCTAGGTGCACCAGGATAAACCCAGCTGAGGCTTAACATTTCCCATGCCCTGTGGACTTGGAGGACAGGTGGATCCTCTCCATTTAGGATTTCATAATGACTCAGGGGAGCCCCACCCCTTTCACAGAGAAAAGAGGCTGTCTGGGGTTAGGGAGGCACCTGGGGCACAGCAAGGATCTGATATGACAGCTGGTTCTCTCCAGTGTTCTCGCTCCTGCCAGGGGGGCATGCAGACAAGGGAGGTCCAGTGCCTGACTGCCAACCAGACCCTCAGCATCCGTTGCCCTCCTCACCTTCGGCCCTCTAAGAAACGACCTTGTAACAGCCAGCCCTGCAACCAGCATCCTGGTAACAATCCCCAGCCCAGCCTCTCCCCCACAGAGTGGAGAGTTCATTGAATGTGGGTGGAGAAGGGAAAGGATCGTGTGAGGGGACAACATACCTCCAGAGATGCTTGGTAACCCTCGTGCCCACTGACCTCTTTCCTCAGATGAGCGGTGCAAAGACAGCTCTCCACATTGCCCCCTGGTGGTAAAGGCCCGGCTCTGCGTCTACCCCTACTACACAGCCACCTGTTGCCGCTCCTGCACCCATGTCCTGGAGCCGTCCTTCCCGGAACCTGCCTGAAATGGGCCCAAGAGAACCTCTCCTCATGGTTTTCTCATGCTACTAGTGGTCACTCATCCACAAGCCCACTTTGTAACCCCAGCTCTCCAGCTGCCCTAATCTCACTCACCAGGGTTGGTTGAGGGTGGCAAGATGACTGACAGTGATTTTGAAGACATTTGTTAGGTCTGTGTGGTAGTGTGATGGTGTGTGTGCGTGTATGCCCCAAATGTGTATCTGGGCCTGCAGAGATGTGTGTGTGTGCTCATACATGTGCATAACCTATCAAAAAGGAATTACACAGCAGAATGAATGGGGAAAGGTAATTAAGGCCTGTTCCCCTTGAGACTTCTAGATGGAGAGGAAAGCAAGTTAGCAGCTCCTTGCTAATCTGAGCTGGTGTGCTCTCTCCATTAAGCCCAACGTTGTGCCCTAAACCTCATGTCTCATATCCCTGGTCTCACACCTTAGAAACCACCCTTTTGTCCTTGGAACCCCTAGTCTAATATCTCTATTCTGACCTCTCATAATTGGCTACAGATCCCTGGGTGGCACAAGCGGTTTGGGCTCAATTTCTAACCTAAAGGTTGGTGGTTTGAACCCACTCAGCAATGCTGCAAAAGAAAGTCCTGATGATCTGCTTCTATAAAGACTAGTCAAGAAAACCCTGTGGAGCAATTCTACTCCGTCTCACATGGGGTTGCCATGAATTGAAATGGATTCTAAGGCAACTTTTTGTATGTGGGGCAAGGGTGTAGGCCACTGCCAATCCTGCCTTACCCCAGTGAGGCAGAATGTGGGGAAAAAATTACAATATTACTTTACTCCTTGCACCCTACTCCCTACCTTCTAAAATGGTCCCCATCCAGAACTAATTTATTCTTTATTAAAGATGATTATGACAAATGAGAAACAGGCTCTTCATTCTTCTCATGGAAACCCAAATTATTTAGGACCATTAGAGCAGGGTGAGTTCAAAGTGAAGGGTGGAAAGGGGAACAGAATTTGGAGCCCAGGTGATTAGAGTTTGGGCCCAGAAGGGCTACTGGAATAAGTTCAAATCACCTTTGGTGAATATCCTACGACTTGCAAGGTAGTCATTGACCACTAGAGGTCACTACTTCTCCCAATTTAGGTATTAGTGGGTGTTTGGGTCCAGGGCCTACAGAGGGCTTCTTGGTAGGGGTAAGCTTTCTGTAAAGGTGCTTGGAATTTAGTAGGCCTTTCAATTGAGGACTAAGCTAAATGGCAACTGGCTTTCATTTCTTTGGCCCTGCTTTCCTGCCTCCTCAAGGCTTTCTGCTATTACCAATTTTCTTACTAAACTTAGTTTATTACTTTTCATGGAGTTGGGGTAAGAGAAGTTATCTCCAACTACCCCCCACCCAAATCCCTTTCTGGAGTCCTGGTGTGGCACTAGACCACAAGGTTGGTTTGAATCGCAGAGTCGTACTTCAAACTCACCAGCCGCTCCTAGGAAACTCTTTTCAGGGTTGCTGTGAGTCAGAACCAACTCAAGGGCACTTAACAACAAAACCCCTTTCTGCCGGAAAAGGCAGGAGGAGGAGCTTGGCCTGGCTCTAGGGAACTCAAAGAGGGCCGAGGGAGGAGCCAAGGCAGTACTGGATGTCCTGCCAAAGACGCATTCCTCTGAGCTGTCTCACCCTGTCTCTCCCTCCTCCACCCCATCCTTGCTAATTTCTTTTCTCAAGGTAAATAACTTGCTAGAGGTGGTGTGAGAGGAGAGTGTCTCTTCTATAATACATATCCTTTCTCTGACCTCTAAAATTCTGAGGTCCGAGATGCTGTGTCTGGAAGCAGCACTTCCCAAGAGTCCCGAATCTAGGGAGGGGAGAGGGTGCAACAGATTCAGATCCCTCTCTCCACTGACAGTATCCCTCTGCCCTTCTCTGTACCTTCCCAGGGTCGGCAAAGTAAGACCTTTCATTAACCAAGGGCCTTACTGTAGTTTAATTAGTGACTACTGTTTCCTGAGCACACCTAGCCCCCACGAGGAGACATTGTTTCTTTAGTAGAAAGGTCTCTGCTACTCATATTGCTTGTTGCCTTGGCATTCAGATTTGCCCTAGGATGGAAGGGGGTGAGACTGAAGAAATTGGGAAACATCTTGGGAGAGGAAGGAGACCAAAGGAATGGAGGGAAAGGAAAATGAAACTGACTAGCTTGCAGAAGGAGGTGTAGAAAGGAAGTACAAACCAAAGCCCCATCTCAGTGTCTCTGTCCAGCCTCAGAGGGGGCCGTCACACAATGTGCTCCTCACTTGGGTCAACCTGTAAGGGGAATCAGGAGTGGGGAACCACAGAAGTGGGACCAGAGCCAATCCTTGGACTTCAGTACATACTGAAGACTGAAGGCGAAGCCCTTCAACTAAGAGAGGAGTGGCAATGAATGGCTGGGGCCCTCCCATCGATTCCTGGAAGCTGCAGGCTGGGCGGAGGCCCCAGCTCAGCTGACTTCCCCACAGTGCCCTTCCCCCGCTCAGGGCCTCTCTGGGCTGTTGCTGGGCAGCTTTGGAGTTAGCCTGAGCCTAAGAACCAATCACTGGTGGGGAATACAGCCACAGCCCCTCTTAGGGTACCCCCAGCTTCAGCATCTCCTTTTTCTTTCTGTTGGTCCCTGAGCTCCCTTCACAGCCTGAGTCTGGCTTTTCAGGGCATGAGCTCTAGTCTGGGGGTTTGCCTCCCTTTTCCTTCCCCATTTTAAAGCTAGCATTCAGTGCAGCCCCTAGGACTCCTTCCTCTGGTGACTGATGTCAGTAGGGGGTCAAGGTGGAAGTTCACAGGAAGGGGAACCTGACCCTAAGTAACTCCTTTTCCTGGCCCCTTAAAAGGGAGTAAGTGTGGCCAGACACTGCTTTGCTGACTTCTGTAACCCTCTAGAGGAGCCTGGGAGAGAGGAAGCTACAACTCAATGACAGGAATATGTGGTGGAGGGGACCCTAGGTTTGGTACATTGAAGGGAGTTTGGGGAAGGACTCGGAGGAACTGGACCCTCTCTCCACCCCCTGGATAATTGAGAATGGGGAAGGTGGTGAAAAGAACCATCTTGAATACATAAGAGAGATCCAGTGGCAAAAGACCAGGAAAGTTGTTAAGGGCTCCTCATTTCTCAAGGTCTGGGGGGTTCTCTGTGTGAGTCTCTAGTGTTCAACTGAGCGAGGATTCCTCTCCTGGCTTCCCCAGGGTAAATACCCTGTTTAAACTACAAATCTTCTGACTAAATTTAGCTCCTAGACTTCCCCGAGCCCTAGGCCTTCCTGTAACCAGAGGTTCACAGCTGCTGGGGTGGGTCTGGTGGAGAGTTTTAACATACCTTTCACCTCAACTTGTCTTAGAAGAAACCTCTTGCAACTAGAAGTGAAGTAGAGCCCAGGAACCCAGTTGCTGGCCCAGAGCATGAGTGTCTCAGCCTTAAGCCACCCTCACTCAGGAGACCTGTTAAGAGGAGAATTATGGTTGGAAGATCTAGACAGACATGAGGGTGGAGGGAGAAAAACTGGATGGTGAGGACAAAAATGCTAGGAGAAGCTCCCCTCCTGATTCTTTCCAGCCAGATCCTCTTTCGTTTCTTGCTTTCACCCTCCTCTCCAGTTTTAAATAGAGATTTTTATTTTAACTCAAGAGACCTCTCCTTTTCTTGAAACATTGTGCTGGAATAGAGATTCTAAATTTTGGTGTTTTGGGGTGGTGGGGTGGTGGAGGAGGAGCTGGTTCTTACTCTCCTACCAATACTGCTGGTGTGGAGCTGTAGGATAAGCACTGGACTGCTAACCCTAAGACTGGCAGTTAGATGGACACACACCACCACTAGCTAGAATCCATTTCTGGTACTGGGTGGGGAAGTTACAGCAGAGGGGGTTTATTTGTCAAGGTAGGTGATGAAGAGGTGTCAACTTAAAGGGCAAATTGGAAGCACCTTCTACAGGAAGTTGAAAGCCTCAGGAAAGTACCTAAGTCTAAGTCTGTCAACAAGAGTGGGTTAACCTGAAACTAGCCAGTACCAATCCTGAATGTAATATTGGACTCAGAGACAGGAGATTGGGAGACACTCAGCAGGAAGGCCTTTCAAGGCTGAAGTTTGAAAGTAGAAAGGATTTGAGGAAGGAATGAAAAGACTAAACACAAAGTGAAAGGAAAGGGGACTCCAGCATGAGACACAGCAGTCAGTTGAAGGTGAGGTAGGGTGATGGCTGGGAATAAGATGGACCTGAACATGAGAAGCTTGGGAAAGAACCACAGTAGTTAGGGGAGAAAAACCCAAATCCATTGTCATGGAGTTGATTCAGACTCATGGCGATCCTTTAGGACAGAGTAGAACATCCCCATAAGGTTCCCAAAGCAGAATCTTGACTGCCACATCTTTTTCCTGTGGAGTGGCTGATAAGTTTAAACCACCAACCTCGAATGGAACATTTAACCACTATGCCAACATGGCTCCTAGTTAGACAAAGGATGGATTCAATTTAAGGAAGGTCCCAGCTTAGGGGAGGGTAGTGGTGAGCCTTGCCTGAATGTCTTTAAAGAGCTCTTCAGAATTCTGAGTGAAGAGTGAGAGGAAAAAAAACTAAAAAAGAGGACATGGTCACTTAGAAAAAGGAGCAGCCTGTATCCCTGAAACTCTCCCCCTCCCGCTTAATGGGGAGATTTCAGGGTTCATCTGTGCGAGAAACCAAGGCACCCCTTTTTTCTTTCATCATTAGCTCCCTCCCTTCCTTCCTATTGATTCTCAGTTGCTTGTCTCCTTCATCACATAATCCTTTTTAGTTCTAGTACAGGGATGGGACATTCTCTAAATGTCCAAGTAGTAAATAATTCTGTGGCAGTAGCCATAGACAATATGTAAATAAATGGGTCTGTCTGCAATAAAACCTTTATTTGTTGTTGTTGTTAAGTGCCATCGAGTCAGTTCCGACCCACAGCAACCCTTACAGGGTTTCCAAGGCTGTAAATCTTTATGGGAGCAGAACGTGTCATCTTTAGGACAGTAAAATTTGAATTTCA